TTGACCTCGCGACTCAATCGCACATCCCTATACAAGGCCCTCCTAACCACAGCCCCAAGCACACTTGACCAATGCCATCCCTGGGCATCCGTGGTTCTGGACAATCTTATAGCCAAAGCCCTCACACTGACCTAGTTTATTGTACGGATTTGTTTATAAGATGTCAGCCTCTCTCACTTAAGTTTGTAGGTTCTTTCAAAGACAGAACTTAACTCCACTTGGTATTCTATTCCCATCACCTAGCATACAACAGGACTCAATAAAAACTGCATGACAGAGCCTGGAACCTACCAGGAGTACCATTAGTATTTTTACTGTTAATCACAAGAAAGAGGGAAACTGAATTGCGGGAAGGGGGGGGCGGAATTACATAACAAGAGAAGATCATTTCCTCCTTAAATGACTCAAAAATTTCCAAACACATTAAGCCCAGATTTCAGAACACAGCATAAATAAGGTGGCCCTGTTTGACCACAGAACCTCGTTTCCAAAAACACAAATGCATAGGCAAAAAGATGATGTCCTTCTGACAAAAGATCCAAGATCTGTTAGTCTGGGATTTGGAGGAGCCCTCTTCACAAAGAGCTAAGATTCACAATCACATTCTTGCCTAAAAAGTACATGGGCCAGGTTCCCACTCTAACTGCTGGGAGGGGCATCTGGCCCCAAGGACAGCAAGGCCCCTGGGAATCTGGGCAGCCCAGATGTTCATTTTACCCCTGCAGTCAGAACCCTGTGACAGCAATGAGATTTCCAAGGTAACCAAGGAAAACAGAGTAGAGAATTATGGCCCCGGAAAGAAGTAGATTAAATTTTAATACTTACAAGTCAACATCAAATTTATTTTTAAAACTACATATCTAACAAAGCCAAATAAGCAAGATAGAATGGATGGTGCTCTACAGGAGGGTTTTATAAACATGAATATTCCAAATATATACACAATTTTTTCCTATTTTGAGAATATTTCAAAGTGCCTAGAGACTCAAAGAAACTGAGACAGAAATAACCCCCCCCAAAAAAGGGGAAAAGCTCACTTTTCAGAGTTATGCCACAACTACTTATTTTTTTCCATTATTTCCAAAAACACAGGGCAGATTCCATCTAGTGGTAGCAGCAGACTTTGCTAAAAATGTGCACAATAATTACTTCACCCAGAGAAAGTGATCACCAGGCGAATATTTTAAAACATAGCTATGTGCTGACCTGCTGCCAAGACAACAAACTGGTTAAAAAAAAAAATAAGCATGGGTTAACAGATACATAGTTTTTCATTCACTTAACTCATTCAACCATTCATCCATTTCCCCTACTCTTCCTACCCAACCCCCATGTAAATCCCATCTTGGTGCCAAAGCCCTCACCAGTTTCCATGGATTAACTATAATATAATCTGTTAAACAGTTAACATTTACTAAACCAGTTGTCTGTCAGGTATGGTGCTGTGGATTATCTCAGTAAACCCTCCCCACAACCCTCTGAAGCAGAGAAGTATTATTATCCAGAATTTAGTGCTGAGGACGGTGAGAAAACGTCAGGTGTCTCACCCAAGTTTAGACAACTGGCAAGTAGTAGAGTCTGAACTTGAACCAGGTCTGACAAATGAGGAATTCAGAGAAATCAGTTGTGTTTTTTTTTGAGAATTCAGCATTATTTAAAAGTAACAAAAAACAGGGGCACCTGGCTGGCTCAGTCAGTGGAGCGCATGAGTCTTGATCTCCGGGTTGTAAATTCAAACCCCATGTTGGGTGTAGAGGTTACTTAAAAATAATCTTAAAAAAGAAAGTAACAGGAAACAGCAACACTTATGAAAACAACATGGAGCCAAGTTCAATTCCAGCTCTTCAACTTACTAGGCTCTATAACCTTGAGCAAATTATCCTGAGTCTCAATTTCCTAATGTATAAAACCGGGATGAGAAATAGACGTTAAGAGATGTGACATTCACAGTATAAGGTTCACAAAGGTTTTTCAGTTTAAAATTAGTTTGCTAATTTCATGAATCATTTATTTAAACATAGGGCCAAGAGCCTGCAAATTTTAAATTTATTTCATTTCTGTTAAATGAACAAGTTACAATACCCACTCTCTGTCTCACTTCAGTATGAAAAGTAGATGCTTGTTGAAAACCAAACTATGTGGGCATCACTTCTTAATCAAAGTATATACGGAACAAGTTTCGGTAACGGGAATGAACATTAAACACCCGAGAACAGAGCATTATTTAAAGGAATCCACAGTGATTCCTCAGAGACCTTTCAAATGTAGTTATCTCAAAAATCCAAACTCACAAATTTCATCATCATAGTATGAATAGTGGCTTTGCTTAAAGTGAAAACAGACCTGTAATGATCTCAATTTTTTCATTTTTGAGAATTTAACCAATTCGTGTGCTTCGATGGCAACACGGAGCAAGCTTGCAATTTAATAAAATGACCAAATCCAGTCTCTTTTTAATCTGCTCAGTAACTGAGCTCTCAGATAATCTCCTGCACAGCATACAAAAAAAGCTTTGGAATTATACACCACAAACTAAAATTAATCAGAGGAAGGGATGCCAATTTTAATAGCAATTCCTATTTGCCTAGCTCCCCAGCATCTGCCAGTGTTAATATTTAAGTGACAAACTGCAATGGGGAAAAGAAACAGAACTTCACACACAATCAAGCTTTAAGGCATCATGTAAAAGCTTCCTTCCCTAAAGAAATATTCAGCTACTTTTTTGGTTGCAATCCTTCCATAGACATTAGCAGCAGTGTAGTCTCAAAACATGGAGAAAATGTTCCCCTTGCTTTTCAACCAGTACTTCTGGAAAAACTTCTCTGGGTCATCCTCATGTGCCTACTTTGAAGCCATCTTTTTTAAGCCTTCCTGACACAAGTAGAATTAAGTGATGTGGGATTACAGAACTCACTACAAAACGTTTAGGTGTAGCTCTCCGCCACCAAAAAAAGGAGAGAAGGAAGGAGGGCCGGCCGATGCCCTAGCTATACCTAAAACACTCAGAATGCTGAATCTATTACTTATGATTTAGCCTATTATTGACTGTTTATGTCTACAAAGAAAAAAACTCCCATGAAGGGCAACAGTCTGGATTTTTCCCCCAAACAGTTCCTCACAGCAGATGCTTTGTTCAAGTGGGCAAAAAAATTAATGGCATCACTTAATTAAAAGCTCTGTGGTGACCTCCCCTCCCTCTAGCGCAATCATCATCTTCTAAAATCCCTACCACAGCCCCATTTTAAGGCTGTAACTTGACATTCTGGCCTAGAGAAACGTAATCGCTTCTATACCAGCACACGTGTGGCTTATAAACCAGTTACCTATTAGGAGCCAAGCAGAGCGCGAAGCACCTTACACACCACGTCTCTCACCCTCCTAACAACCCCGGAAAGGATGCGTTACTAGTCTCGTTTGCCAGGCGAGGGAAGCGAGGGCAGAGCGCTGAGGAGCTGCCCCACAGCACACACCCAGCGGCGGCCCCGGACTCACGAACTCAGCCTTCACCGCAGGCTGCTCGGCCTGTCAGCCCAGGCTGCTTCATTCCGAAGTGTTCTCTCCGCAGGATGTGGAGGGCTTACCGGTTCGCACCAGGCATGATGACTCTGCACCCTGAACGCACTTGACTAAAATCGGGCCTTTTCCAGGCTGGTCGGGGGGGAGGCGGTCAGCGGCTCAAGCAGGTGAGACACACGCAGCTGGGGGCGGCTACCAGAGGTCCTCGGATCAGAAGCCCCGGCTGCGCACACAGCTGGCCGCGCTCGGCTCGCGGGCGCCGTGCGGCAGGCGGCCAGGCCTCCCCCGCGAAGGCGGGCACACCTTTTCCTGGACAGCCGGGGTCCCCCGACCCGCCCGAGACTCGGGCAGAGGGGGCGCGGGCTGCGGCGGGGCTCGGAGCACACCGCGGCGCCGCGGGGCAGCGGCTCCTCCAGAACCAGTGGGAGGCGGGCGCCCGGGCACGGCCGGCGAGCCCACGACCCCCTTCGCGCCGGGCGCGGGGCTGCCCGCTCACCGCCCGCCCCGCCTTCCCGGCCGAAGTTGGCCGCGCCGCCGGGAGCCGCCCGGCGCGGGGCCCCGCGACGGAAGAGAGGGCCGAGGGGCTGGCTCTTGGACAGGCCCAAGGTAGCCATCAGCCAGCTCCTCAGAGCCACCTCCCCGGAACAAAGGGCCTCTGTGTCGGGCACGGGTGGCCCGGCCGCGTCGGATGTTGAGGAAAGAAACTTTTCCCGGGCTGCGGGCGCCGGGGGCAGGCGCGGGGGCGGACCGGCGGGACGAGCGGCGGGCAGGGCGCGGGCCCACCTGAGGCCGGGGCCGCCGGCCCGCCCGGCCGCCCGCCCCCGCCCGCCCGTTTCTTTCCTCA